TACATCTCTTCTATTTTGTGTCATTGGAGAATGTAAGGCATTTTTGTATGTCTTCCTTTAAGTCTCTGAAGAGGTATCTATATACATAAAAAGCCAGTGACCGTAATGCCATAACAACCCTAATGACCATAATGAGTGGTCGCTATGATACCCTCTGTGGCCAGCGAACCAGCCTGATCAGTACATATGTCTCCTGTTTTCCCCATTGACCCAAGAGCTCTCGATGCGGTTTGCTGAGGCTGATCTCTGGCTAGCATTGGCAGCTTTACTTATTCCTCTGCCCAAACCTGCTCTTTTCCCATTATTCCCAGTTACTCTTCTCAAAAGTATCCTTTAATAAGTACTGCCCACTACGGGACTCTCCCACCCCAATCAAGGGCGGGGCTGGCCAGCTAACCACCCATGGCCCCTCCTCCAGGCTGCTGGCCCCCGATTGGCACTCCCCACCCCATTTGGGAGCAAAGCCAGTTGGCCCATTGTCCACAGCCCCTCCCCATGGCTCGCCATGCCCCAAATCGGCCCCCCAACCCCAACATGGGGTGGGGCCTGCCAAACAATCACCTGTGGCCCCTCCACCCAGCTGGTCAACCACCAGCCATCTCCTCCCGACAGGCCCAATTGGGGCTGGGCCAGCCAGACCCCACCCATGCACGAATTCGTGCACTGGGCCTCTAGTATATGTATATATACACTGTGTGTGTGTGTGTGTGTGTGTGTGTGTGTGTGTGTGTGTGTGTGTTTGTTTGTTAGGCTGGAGGGAGAGAATGAAAAAGCCTAGTTTCTAATACCCAAAATCTGCCTCTAGAATCAGTCAGTGGCTGTGAATCATTTAATACCATCTGAGCCACATTTCTCCATTTGATCTGGAAAATGCACTGGACAGTTCTGAAGGGTGTAATCTTTCTAGTCAAGCCAACCTGGTTTTGGATTCCAGCTCCACTTGGTAATTCTTTTTCTAGATCAAGAGCACACAGGCAGAATAAGAGTTAGGAAGCTGTGCTTTCTCTCTGGCCATTTTTGAACTTTATACCATCCATTCCAGAGGGTAGTGTGTGATGGCCAATCCAGTTCTCCTGAGCCTCTTCAGGTTTCATTTAGGACTTCTCCCCGAGGAACCAAAAACATTCTGATTCTCTGAAGCCATCATTATCTTAGAGATGTATGCGTGGACTCCCAGAGATTCCGTTGAAAAGTTATAGAAGCTATTCGGATGCTCTCCATTTCCTTAGATTCTTGACTAAGTCAGTTTGGAATCATCAGCACTGCTGTAGAGTGCCCCTCTCATAAAATACAAAACTTACTTAATCAGTACATTCCATGTGAGCCAGTTGTATCTGTGTCTGATGGGTCAGAATCCCTCTGTCAGAGACTCCCTGACCCTGATCCTGGAAGAACCATAAGCATTCCTTGCTCTGCTTAAACCATGGGTTTCTTAGGGGAAAGCCCAGGGACTCATTTTTAGCAGCTTCAGGAAAAAGTCTAGTAAACATGAAACGATAGATAATTTAGAAGATAAGTCAAGGTTTCTGACCAACACGAGTTCTTGAACTCTGAGCTCAAGAAGTTTAGAATTTGTAAATGTTTTCACAGAGAGCCTCATTTCCTTTTTCTTATTCTCCTCTGCCCCTCAGAAAGGCCATCCCTATGGGTGAGGTTTAAACCTGTACCTGTCAGCACATAGACAGGCCTGGAAGAGTAAATTCCAGGCCATTAGATCCTCGTTGATCAGGATCAGGCAGTGTAAACCTTTACTGTTAAGGTGAGAGCCCCCCTTGTTTTCTAACAGATACTGCAAGTCCTGGAATTCGAAGTCTTCTGGGAACTGTATACATGAGACTATAGGGAAGACCATTCTGTGCCTGTGGTTTGACATTTGCTTTCTCCTACCACGTATGCTGAAGAGTTCCAAATGTTTTTCTTTTCCCTCTGCTATGATCCATGTCTGTGTTTCTGACTGCCCTCTACACATCCCCTATCTTGATGGGTAGGCATTTCTAACATTTAACAGGCCCAGAACGTAACTCATTGCCCTCAGCCCCCAAACTTGCTTTATCGCCTGCATTCTTCATTTCAGCTAATAACTTCTTGTTCCCCATGGAATGGCTCCTAAACTGAAAGCAGTGCATTTTACATCATGACTCACAATGCATGTGTGTACACACACGCGCGCGCGCGCGCGCGCGCGAGCACACACACAACCTGAACTGAGATTTCATAAAACATTATGTTGCCCTCTGATATCTTCTATGTATTTTCTCTTTTGAAAAATGCTGATATCAACACCCTTAAATGAAAATTTACAACCCACCAATGGGTCATCTATAGGGGGGAAACCTGAAACAGATAAAATTTAGTTTCCTTGGATTTGGTTCTGGCCCTAACCTCCCTGGCCTCCTTCACTCTGTTATTAGACACGTCATTCATTCATTCAGGCAGGCAGGCAGTTTGTCAATATTTACTGAATGTATGGTATATGGTAGGCACTAGGGATCCAGAGATAAACACTATTGTTTCTACTCTGAGAAGACGGATAAGTAAACTAACAAGTATGAGGCAGTAAGTAGGTCTTACAGAATTCTGCAAAATGCCCTCGAAGATCACCCATGTAACTTGGACCAGAGAATCCAGAAAGTCTTTCAGGAAAAGATGAAGCATGAGCTGAATCCAGAATCAGAGATAGGAGTTGACCTGACCAGTTAGGGGCAGGACGTTCCAGAAGAATGTACTTTCTCCAAATATTCATGTGGTTCGGGGCCTGAGCAACATGGGTATTTAGAGAAACTATTTTGACATAATCTTTTCTTTTTAACCAGAATGCTTTCCTGCACTCCCAGCCAACCGTCAGTCAGTGTTCCTTCTCCACTAACCAGTCCTCTCCAGTGTAGCTTTTCTCCTCGCCCTCAGGTAGACTCACATAACCCCGCTTTGGGCTCTCACCTCCCTCTCCCCTAAGAGAACACTTATGGTGAAGGTAGGTCATCAGTGCCTTTGTTCATCTGCCTCACCAGACTAGGTACACCTCAAGGCAGAGCTCAGTCTCATCCCTCAGTCTTCTGAGACAAACAGTCAGTATTAGTCCAGTGAAGAGATGAACTAGTAAAGGAGCAGAGAGATGTGCAAGCCACAGCATAGGGGCAGGCAGGCTGAAGCTGCTTAAATGAATATGTATAAGAGTTTTTAGTGTATCATAGCATGTTGTTTTAAGATTAAAATGGGTCGAGATGCTTATTTGCAGATGTGGTAACCATGCGTTAAATGTTAATGGCACGTGGGCTACAATTTCTGTATGTGAACTGTTTTATTTGAAAAAGACTATTTTTGGCTTTTTGAGAATACTTGTTTTTTTTCCTAACTTAAAAGTATCTTGGTGGTAGAATTTCTTAGTTGATTAATATAAATGAAATTCTGCTACCAGAGACAACACATATCAACTTTTCCTATTGCACAACTGCCCTATCATCTCTAACCATATATCTCACCCAAATTGTCTCCCCAAAAGGCTTTTATAAGAAGCAAAATTGACTGTTTAAATTTGATTTTTTTTTTGAGAGAGAGAGAGAGAGAGAGAAAGGAAGGATAGAGAAATAGAAACATCGATTGGCTGCTTCCTGCATGTCCCCTACTGAGGTTCCAGCCAGCAATTTGGGAATGTGCCCTGACTGGTCTGTGACCTCCTGGTTCATGGGTCGACACAACAACTGAGCCATACTGGCCAGGCCCAAAATTCACTTTTAATTATTCGTATCCTTTGGCCACTAGCGGCCAAGTTTGTATTTCCTGTGCTCATTGTCACAGGAGTTGTAGGCAAGAGATGAATTTGAGACCTGGAATCTCAAATTCCTCCTATTTCGACAGCTTCCGGGTTTGTCTCTTGCATTTTTAACCTCTTTGACTCTTTGTGTTGGTTCATGATAATCGGGGTTAGAGCATGTGGTATTGATTCCTGACCAGGAGTCACTGTTGAAAAAGTAGGCGGACTAGGTTCTCCCACATGGCCAGCGCCTCCCTCACCTGACCCCATGTCCTGTGGATGCTCTGAGTACTGTCTAACAGGGACATAGTGGTTGCTGCAGGCCAGGTACGTTCTCCCCACAGATGAGGGAGGTGCTCTTAGCACCTCCAGTTTACAAGTGAGGAGGTGGAAGCTCGATTAGGAGATTTCTTGCCCAAGGTCTTATAATTAAGTAAGTAAGTAGAGGTGCAGGGGATCTGTCTCCGGGTCTGAGCTCTCAACCCTTCAATTCCACTCTTCTTACTCGGTGACTTACCATGACCATTGAGTGTAATAGTCATAGATGGTGGGGTTGGACATTCAAATGAAGTGTGCCCACTTATATAGAGCTGGAATTGCCCTTTAATTCCTTTAACCAGATCAAACATTGTGGTGATAGAAAAGCACACAGGGAAAGAAGGTAGAAGTGTGGGTAAGGAAAGGAAAAAGTCCAGGGAGAACAGTATTTTGGGACGAGGAACCTATGAGTCACATAATTAAAGATGTTAACTGTAATGAGCATATGGCCAGCAGAGAAGCGAGTCTCCCAGGCTGTCCATCCTGCTCCTTTGAAACAGCTATGCTCAGACAGAGGATGTGGGATGAGAAATGACAGATTCTTAGAACTGTTTAATGACTAGACATCTGATACCGGAGCGAAGGACAAAAGCTCATGAAAGAATCATGAGGGGCACGGGCATACTTTATTCAGTTCCATGAAGAGGATAGCTTATCGTTTGAGTTCTAAACCTACTTATTAACTTTGGAGTTGATAAAATACAGCCGATTTCACTTGTCTTACCTCATTCAGCTGCATATGTTAAAGCACAGACATTCATCTTGGGTGGCTCTCTAGCTGGGCTTGGGTTTTACTGAAATAAAATTCCTGGCACATGATAATGGAAAAGAAAAAAAAAAATCCAGAGTTTCATCATATGCAGTGTACTAGAGAATTCTGAGTGTTTCGGAAATAATAAGTCTGTTTCCACAATTTCCTGCTCTCCACTAGGTTCTTGGAACGCCAAATGAGGACACTTGGCCTGGAGTTCACTCTTTACCACATTTTAAGCCAGGTATGTTTCATTCATTACAAATGACTAAATGTGTCCTATATGCAAAAGGTGAAGATATGTTTCCCCTCAAGCTCACATTTTTACCTTGAAAATTTCTTGTTACTTTTGTCATTGTGTATTCTACATATTAGTGGAGTTGTCTTTTATTTTCACATTTTATTTGCTTTATACAGATAGAATAAATTATATCCCTAATAAGAGATTTTCATCATGAGGGATGTAATTCATTTGACTTGACAGGCTAATCTTGAAGTAAGCATTCATTTAATTATTAACTAGATTAGCATCCATGTCTATAAAAACAAAATTTAAATTGGGGTATGACAATCCGTGTGACTTCTTGTAATAATACTAGGAAAAATATTCAATCATAAAAAGGAAAACACCACATTTTTATTTCTTTTTTAAAAACTAGCAATTTATGGTCAGTGAATTTGAGTTTAAACAGATGAAATGTTCTGAATGTCCTATTGTACAGCATTCAATATTTTTAAATGTAAAATTTTTAAATACCTAAACTGGAAAATCTGAGAAAAATGCAGTACTTATAAAAATGAACTGTCAGGCTTTTGCTCACCAGGAGGTGGCAGTCAAGAAACTTTCAACTTTAATGATTATATTAAACAGAAGAAGAATCTCAAACTTGGTCTGTTTAACTTTTATAGAAGGGATGAAAGGTTTGCAATTGGAAATTTAATAAAAATCAGTGAAATGAATTATTGTAAAATGATTCTCTTGTTGGTTGTTGGGTTTTTATTTCTTGGTTACAAAACATGTATTATAAAATGCAGACCCACCATAAAATTACTGAAAGGGATTTTATGGAAGATCTAATAGTTCATTATTTTATGAGGAAAAAGAGCTATGAATAATTTCTGTAATTGGGGCCAAGTATATTCTTTTTCTCCACTTCCCCTCTTTTTTGGGGGGACCATCAAGAATAAATTATGACTGAATTTGGAAACTATTTTTATTCTTAATATTTTTCTTCTGAAAGTATAGAGTGTGTACTGAGAATTCTTTTATCTTCTTTAGTGCCCAAGGACACTCTGTACTTTTACTAAAAATTTTACTAACTTCTGTGTTTTAAAAGACTTAACAATTTAGATGGATTTTCTCTCTTCTTTTTTTTCAACCAAGCAAGAATCATCCTCCAACTGCTCCAGTTGACCCTAGTGAGTCTAAGTGAGAACATTTACAAATTTGTAAATTAATCCTAAAGAAATAAGACAAAGGAGACTGTGAAAAAAATTAAATGAATAAAGATAGGTGCAGAAAGAAACAATTGATATTGATAGTCATTTGGCCTACCAAGTTTCTGCACCAAAAAACATGGAAGAATTTTTTGATTTTGGTATAAATAGAATTTATCTTCCTCAACAACCTACAAAAGCATTTATCAAATATCCTGGAAAGTAATATGATGTAGTAGGAAATAAGCTAACAGATTGAGAACTGCATGAGATCAGACACTGCACATAATACATATTTTGATGTTCAACAAATGTTTGTTTCCCTGAATTATATTGAACTAGAGACCCAGTGCATGGAATTTGTGCACGAGTAGGGTTCCTAGACCTGGCCAGTGATCAGGGTCGGTGCCTTCCTTCCTGCTGCTGGCTAGGGCCTTGCTTTGTTCCACGCCACCCCCTGGTGGTCAGCACATGTCATAGCAAGAGATAGAACACCCAGTCTCCCAGTGGAACTCTTGAGGGGACACTATGCATATTAGCCTTTTATATATAGAGATGAGTAAAACAGATATTACTTATGTGACTCTTCTGATAGATAATATAAATTAGGCATGTATGTTTAAGTTATTAATATGATACACAGGTGTCACTACAGATATATGATACATAATAGGTCATGGGAATCCAGAAGAATAACATGTGCAGATGGTATAAGGCATGGGAGCTGACAAACAAGCAAGATGTTATGGGCCAAGATTGAGGCTTGAGGATGAGAGAAGATGTGACAAATGTTTCTTGAGTTGGCTTGAGAGGAGTCAAGGGAAGACAATATATTAGATTGAAGCAAAGGAAGCCAATCCATGAGTTCTTTCACGCAGCCCAGGAACCAGACAATCAGGGGTCCTAGTCTCCCCCAGCCTGGACCTCATACTCCAAGGAAGAAGATGCACATTCCAAGAGAATAAAGGGATCAGTGGTAGGTCCAGCGACCCTTCACTTCCTTATTCTGCCCCCACAGATTGCCCTAGTAAGTCTGAGGGATAACAAAACATATGAGCCATGAAGAATACTTTGTTTTGTTTGTAATAGACTTTAATTTTATTTTAGATCAGTTTGGTTCATAACAAAATTAAGTGGAAGGTATAGAAATTTCCTATATACCCCTGCCCCTATATATGCACAGACAGCCTCACCATTATCAACACCCCCACCAGAGTAGTACATTTGTTACATTGATGGACCTTTGCTGACATGTCATTATCACCCAAAGTCCATAGTTAACATTAGGATTCATTCTTGGTGTTGTAAAGTCTATGTATTTGTATAAATGTATAATGATATGTATCCACCATCATACTATCACACAGAGAAGTTCCCTGCTCTGAAAATCCTCTGTGCTTCACCTTTTTATTTCTCCTTCCCCTCACCTGGCAACCATCAGACTTTTCACTGTCTCCATAATTTTGCCTTTTCAAGAATGTCCTACAATTGGAATTATGCAAGATGTTGCCTTTTCAGACTGGCTTCTTTCACTTAGTAATATGCATTTCAGTTTCCTTCATGTCTCCCCATGGCTTCATAGCTGATTATATATATATTTAGAGCTGAATATTCCGTTGTCTGAATGTTTATTCATTCACTCACCTGCTGAAGGACATCCTAATTGTTCCAAGGTTGGATGGTTATGAATCAAGCTGCAGATGGTTGTGTGGGTAGAAGTTTTCTGTTCCTTTGTGTAAATACTGAAGAGTGTGATTGATAGGTCAGACATGTTTTGCTTAGTTTTTGAATATGTAATACATTTAAGCAACTCAAGATATCAAATAATATTAAGAGAAGCAAAGCCTCCCATCTGCCATTTCCCCAGCATCACTGCCCCATCATAGGCCCCATTTTACTAGATTCTTATGTTTCTTTTCTTTACATAAGTGAAAGAAATTATAAAAGTATATTTTTATGCTTCGTATATTAAACACAGTTTGGGTCTTGCTTTTCTCACTAATGCACCCATGGGCTTCCCATGTCACTGTATGGAGGAGGCCCTTGAGCTTCCCTCTTCTCTTACAGCTGCACTGTTTTCCATGGCGTCATTTTCACCTGTTTCCCACGTATGGACATTTAGGTTGTTTCTAGAGTTTGGCTATTGTAAATACTAAAAACCTGTAGATAGGCACATACAATACACATTGCATGTACGCAAGTATATCTGAACGATAAGTTATCGGACATAAAGTTAAAGAATCAGTAAGTACTTAAGGCTGTAATTTTGAACTCTCCTGTCAGGTTGTTGTCCAAAGGGATGGTACGAGCTGGCTCTGTGACCAGCAATAGTATTGGGTGGCGAAGAGAACTAGGAGGGAAATAGAGCAAGAAATGGGCTCAGGCAGGGCCAGGAAAGGAGGTGATTTTCAGTTTCAAATGGTAAATATAACCAAGGGAGGCGCTACTGAAAGATGACATTTGACGGAAGGACATGAACGAGCCATCAAGAGATTGAAGGAAGAACTAGGAGAAGCTCCAGGATGGTCTAGTACTGCTCTCTCCTTTGTTAGGTGACCTGAGGTCAGGATGTTGCAGGTCTCCCCGAGAAGCCCAGTTCTCCCTGGGTTTCTGTTCAGTTCTCCTTTTTCCAGTGCACATCGCAGAAGATCCTGTTGCTGGATCTGTATTGTGATTTCTCCCTGACCTTCTTCTACTGCACATTATTTTTTGATTCAGTCTCTTTGTTGTTGTTCTTGTTTGCAAAGAACTTTACATTTTAGTTTTCAATTCCAGTTTACACTTAATATTATTTTGTATTGGTTTCGGGTGTACAGCATTGTGGTTAGACAATCATGTATTTTACAAAGTGGTTCCCTGATATTCCCACTACTCACCTGGCACATACACGGTGACCAGCAATAGTACTGGGTGGTGAAGAGTACTTGGAGGAAGAGAGAAAAGAGGAAATATTTGCTGAATAACTAATTCCCACACTAGGTCTTCTAACTTAGGTGCCATACAATATTATTGACTATGTACCCTGTGTTGTACTTAATGGACAATTAGTTTACAAAGTACATCACAGAAAAGTAGGGAGGATCTGATCTCTGTGTTTAGTAGAATACATCAAACTGCAAATACCACTTTGCATTAAATAGTTTGGCCCCGAAACAACATGTAGATTCTATGTCTGATACTTTCAATCATTTCTTAAATGTTTCCAACAAAACAGGCATTTAACAGCGATTGAATGACAAATTATTATCCAGGAACTTAAAAAGGAAAGGTACTGTAAAATTCTGGAGTGCGGGTGGGGATGAAGTAGGAAATGTTCCCAGACAAGAAGCAATTAAGTCATGTGATGGCGAGCCCTGGCTTAGGAAAAGTTACTGTCACACCAGTGGGCAGTGATATCATAGACTTGGGGACATTTCCCCCATAGGTCCTTAGCTGGCCAAGGACCTGATATGAAATGTCATAGATACACGGCCAATGCTGTCACATGAAAATAAGAACTAGCCAAAAATCTTGATAACCACTCAAAAATGTAAAATACAGCAATCCCCCTTGTCCGCAATGTTTTCTGCATGTCAGTTACGAGTGGCCAACTGAGGTTTGAAAATATTAAATGGGAAACTCCAGAAATAAACAATGTATGAGTTTTAAATTGCATGCAGTTCTGAGTAGTGTGATTAATTCTTGGTCTGTGCCTCTCAGTCCTTTTCTGTCCTGCCAGGACATGAATCATCCCTTTGTCCCACATATCCACAATGTAGGCTTCCTCTGCCCAGTAGTCACTTAGCAGTTGATCATTTACTAGACTGT